TTTTCCTTCGAGCGCGCGCCGGCAAATTACTTGAGCTTTCGTCCTCAGCGCGCGTGCGATCGTAAAACTATAGGGAGCCACCTTAAAAGGCGTTTAATAGAAATTTTCAATCGATCTTACGTACACCTGCCGGCAAGTTCATCCGTGGACAAAAGCTATTGTCATAACTCAACCCCTTGCTGATATAGCTACCCGAATTTGATTCGTTCTATCACGAATGCCGTTTTCTGATTGGCTACGCCACTCACTATCTATTCTGTTGTAAATAGTGAGTAGCCTAGCAGTGTGCGCTTGTTAACAAAATGACGGCCACTTGTTTGCGTTTTTGAAGTGTCCGTAAAGAGGATTTAGATAAAGTTTTGAACGTCTAGTAGATTTGTACTAAAACAATTAGATTACTTGCTCTCTTTTTTTATACGTGATAGAAATCTCGAGCTCATGATCTAATTTTTTAGTTAAATAACAATGCTATGGCTCGGGATTTGACAAACAGGCCGATGTACATGTAATAGTCTTTCTTTTTTGCGGCAATTTCTCCTATATGTAACAGTTACAAGGATCTTTGATATTTATTGAAGAGAAGAGAATGGCCGTGAACAGAAGAACTCGATCTTACCCGATTTTTGGTTTTGGGTTTGAAAATTGCCTCAATATTCGTTGAAATTTCATCCGACATTATTTTAGGTCAAATCAATCTCAATCTCGTTCTCACAGGTCGCGATCATTTTGGTCAGCATCAAGAAATCTTAAGCAAAAAATCTCAAGCAATCTAAAACAAAAACTAAGAAGAATCGGAAGGTGAGCCAGCATTAGCTACAGCGGTTGTTCTCTCCACACATGTTAAGAACCGTTATTGAACTTGAACGCATGCGCACAATGAAACCGGAGACAGGGTTTTGTGGTTCAATCCAGAGCGTCGCGCTTTCGGTTAGCGCTGACTCAAAATGCGCGGGCTTTGGGCGCGAGATTGAATGAGCCCAGAAAACAAGCGTGGACAACATTTCCGTGGTCAGGCAAATCGTTCAGACTTTGTAATTACAATTCCGCAGCAGTGAAAATCGCATGAAAGAAAACCTTTATGTTGACTTCATTCTGCAGCGGAGTCATCTACGTTACCTTTACCTCGATCAGGCGCTCTCATTCTAGCTCAATATAAACCTTTTTTCACGCGACTCTACTTCAGCCATGTTGGTGTTCCAAAATAATGAAACGGTGGCCATGTTGTTATCCCAAACCAATGGACCTTTTTGGCGATACGGCAGCCATTTTGAATTCTATTGTTTCAAATAGCTATTGTTTGCCCCCTAAGCATCCCATTATAGACATTTGAAAATTCAAAATGGCCGCCGTATTGCCGATAAGGTCCATTCTGTTGGAGCTGTACTCTTCTCTTATGTAAACGCTTTCTTTTGTTTTATTACAATGGCATGGCTGCTGGCCACGTGAGTGAAAATGCCCTAAACTTTCTTTGCGATTATTTTTCAGACCAGATATTAACACAGTCTTAAACCTTCATTTCTAGGGGATATCGTCACGTTTCTACTCTCCGGCCCAGGAAGCGCCGACTTCTCAATTCATCCAACCAGCGGCATCGTGTCATTAAGCCATGCGCTTAACTACGAGTCTATGGCGTTCTACCTTTTAACAGTCACCGCTTCTGACGAAAACAGCGGCATGACACAAACCACACTCAATGTGACAGTTGTCGATCTAAATGACGACCCCGCCTTCGTCAGCGCGCCATTTACGGCTCAAGTTGATGAGAACTTGGTCAGCGGTTCTACGGTTTTGAAGCTCACCGCGACTGACCAAGACGTGGGTGACTCAATGACCTTTAGCATCGCAGGCACGATTTCTGGTCATTTTGCTGTATCTTCCACGGGACTAATAACAACGACTCAAGCTTTAGACTATGAGACCGTGAATACTTACTCTTTGAACATCTCTGTTTCCGACAGCACAAGCTCTGTAACAGAAGCTTTAACAATCACCGTGCGTGAC